CTGGGGGATTAACTGTAAGCTGGGGATAATGCAATTAGAATTATGCCTGAAGGAGAGTTGGCTAATCTCATAGCAGCACAGCATCCAAATAAAGCCATAAAATGCAGTAATAAACCATACAAGGAAAGAGAATATGAACCACACATTTTAAATAAGCTAAATATATTGTAGTCCTTTGCCTGGCTTGAAAGAAATGACTTTTTGATTCAGCAATTATACCGGTAGCTAAAGAGACTGAGTATTTTAAGATTTCATGTCAGCATGAAATATCGCTCTAGGAACCACGTGAAAAATCTGCTGAAAGAGACAAACAGTATGGCATGTGAACACTTAGTACTCACTTAAGTGACTTTGATGGTATTCTATGAAAAAATGCTGTCCTAGAGAGGAAGAGTTATAAATAGTGGTGTCCAAAACATGCTTATATAAGACCATGGTCAGCTGCATGATGGAACTGTTTAATCCATCATGGAACGTGATATGTAGAGGGTTCAGCTGAAAGCGCTTGTGGTCCTGCTGGTTCTTTGTGTGAAGCCTGGCTGCAGCCTTTTATGATTCAGCTGTCATTTAGAAAAAGAAAAACGACCCATGGCTGTACATTCTAGTACAGCTCCACATTCGTTACATCATTAATCTTCTCTCATATCTGGGCTTTCTTTAAGATGCTGCTTATGTTTTGACCTTCCAGGGAAAGCCTGTGATTCTCAGTTGAGTGCAGTAAAATAGTTCTGGAGAACTGTGAGGAAATGTCCCCGTTTCAATGTGAAAATTCCCTCTGCAGCCCATGATCTCATCTCTCCACCTAATTTTTCACCTTGAGTTGGTTGGTTGCACAAGGTGGCTCCAGCTTGCTCCCTGAGCCTGAACGTTCTGCATCAGCAGCTTAGCAATCAGGTGCTTGCGTGAGAACCACAGCCCAAGGCATGTCCCAGTAGTCCCAGTTCAGGCAGGTGGGTTGCCCTAAAATACCATTGTCTTTTGTCTAAACATTGTATAACACTTGCAGGTCATTCTTGCGCCATTACAGGATGCATATCTCCTTAGACACGGGAACTCATAAAAAGTAAACTTTATTGTTAAAAAGAAAATAAAAATGTCAGACTCTGACAGCAGTTGAGTGAAGAGTATTTGCTTGCTGACAAAATGTCACTAGCTGGGTTTCTTGGGAATTCCTAAACTCTATCGGCACAGTGATAAACACAGATCTCCTCTCTGCTAAACGCATCGCATTCCTGCTGCGGTACACAGTGGAAGCATTCCATTCAGAAGGCCGGACACTTATAAGCCGTAATGTTTACAGAGGCATAAGCTGAATCCTTTTAGTGTGTCTCTTCAGAGCAAGGAGAGAGAGACATTATGACAGATGATGCAAATAGCCAGGAAAATGAACCCCATAAAGTAAAGAGACTGAAGAGCAGGCGGGTGAAAAGCGGACAGGCAGGAGGAGAGCGGACAGGCAGTGCTCCCGAGTATCACGTGGACACATACCCATGTAACATGTGTAATCCTGACGTGCTCTAATGTTGTGTAATGACCTGTCGTATGTCTAGTGTGTAACCTTCCCGTGGAGTGTTATAGTTGTTGCTTGTTGTGTGATTATAAGGGTTAATATGAAGTGCAGCTGCGGTTGAAGCCTTCGCTCCTCGTTCTTTGCCACCGCTAGGATGCCTCGGTGTGCCCTGACCCACACTTTGTTGATGTGCAAAATATGAAGAATGTTCACGAGACCAGGTTCACATACAAATTAATAGATAATTTCAGCCATTTTGACGTTAAGCCCATGTTATACCCTTACTGGTCCGTGATTCCCGTCCGGTTCTTTCACTGTAGTATATTGGCATGGCTTGTTAGATAATTAAAGGAAACTCGGATGTATCTTACTCTGAAGTGTTTTACGATTCAATGCTAGCAGGTGCAGACGCATAACTCGTCAGAATGTGTGAAAGAATCATGTTTGTAGTTCCCACAAAAATATTGACAGACATTTATGGGTGAATCGGCTATAATTCCTCTCAAACAGCAGTTACAATGACCAGCAGGAACCTGTATCACTTGTAATTCTGCATTAGCATGTAAACAATAACATTATTTCCTGCTCCTCATATCAGTCTGGGAGGTTAGTTTGTGTTTAAGGGCTTCTGTTTATAAAACTTGCCCTAGGAATGTTTTTTTTTATACATAAGAAATAAATAGTTTTATCTGGCGTTATCAGCTGATACATTTAGAGAAATTCAGACATAAATTCAATGTTCTATTCTGTGAATGTTCCTTGTTATGTTGTTTTATTGTAAACTTCCAGTTGCATAATGGGATAAAAGATAAGTGACAAAAATTTTATCTTGAACAACGTTCTTTTTTTTTGGAGAATGGATGATGGGCCTTAATTATGGACAGTAATTAAATGCCTTAATTACATTTTCATGCTAATTAAATGTTCAGCTTCCCAAAATAAAGCAGGAGATTAGTGTCTGCTTATCACTTCAGAAATCAAAGGGATCTTCAGAACGCCAGTTGATACAGAAACTCTCTGGGAAAGACAGTAGAAATGTCTGCCGTAAATCTTAAAATCATAACACTGCAATCCTGCCGTGAATCTTCATAACACTGCAACACTGCAATCCTGATCTTGTTGTACCTGTTCTTCCAACTAGATAGCAATTAAAGCTTGGGTTTTTGACCATGCATCCATTATTATGAGTTCATTTTCACTTCGTTTATCCTTATTCTCTGAGTTAGCAACTTTTTTCAAGACTGCGGTTGTACCGTGTTTCAGAGGCAGGCTTGGCTTCGTCACTGTGTTTGGCGGTGCCGTTAATGCCAGTATGTCCAAGGAGTCTGACCCGCGGCAGAATGCATGGCTGGTAGAGATACGCTACCCGGCAGGGATCTGCCAGATAGAAGACATTGCTGTGTATGTCGCTTTGGCTTTTCACCCCTGTTTGTTTTGGCAGTACACTTTTGACACGTTAACATGTGCTCATATTACAAAAGATCAAAAATGCAAAATAAAACTGCACAATATCAAAAATTACCTTTGAAAATTAGATACTGAAAATTAACCTGCGTAGAATTAAAATATAAATTTCTGAGGTGGTAATTTTCTAAAGATGTGTTTGCTTATTATTTTATTAAGTTATAATGTGAGTATTATACATGTAACATACAGTATGTATGAGTGTGTAAATGATGTCTAATTCATTTCAAGCCCATGGGGGGGATTCTGCTGCCCCGTACAGTCAGAGACGTCTCTCAAGGCACAGTGAGGCTGTCACGTTGTCAGCCCCTGGGGCAGGGGGAACACGTTAGTGTGTCGCATTCACCACAAGGGCTCTACCTGAAGAGTGGCTTTGGAGTGGAAGAAAACATCAGATTTTTATTACTATTAGTATGCCATCTTACTGATGCTATTGTATGCAACATATAATGTATGGCATAAAGATTAATAGTAATAGTTATTAATAGTGACAGTATTGGCTCTTAATTCTACTAAGATGGCGGGTGATGATATATATTTATGGGTGTTTGTCTTCTATATCACAGCTGGGGTGACAAAGAAATTCTAATAAGATTTTGTACTGTGAAATGTATGCTGCATTTCTGCTATTTTTATGGCTGCTGTTACACACAGATCTATGCCTAGAATGACCTCCCTGAGAGAGTCAGCCTGCTTTAAAAGGTACAGCCTTCCATTTGCAGCATATTATAGTTGATGTGCATTAAAAAAAAAAAACACTTGCCTAGGGACAAGGATAATTAATATTCAGTAATCCCAAAGCGCTCCTAACTGATTATGTCTGATAGCCACATAGAGCTCTGCTGCTGTAAAATAAGAAAACAGTGAAATTGGGCAGTGACTGCAGAATTAGCTCTTCCCTGCTTCATTTATTACTATCAAGCTTGGTTTGCCAGCTGGATCCTCATTTCTGTTCAGGAAATCTGGAAAACGAAAGCAAATTACCCATCACCACATCCTAAAGTCTTGGAATCCATCATCTGTAGCAAGGTGTGGAGCCACGTCCCAGACTGGGCAGCACAAACCCCAAGCTGCTGCATCCACGTGCATCTTCCAAGCTTCAAGGGCCCCTCTGCACGCTGGGTTGAGGATGAGCTGCTTTGTCTGTTGGCCCAGCGCTGATGCATGGTGGTGTGGAGCGTGTGGCTCGCTGTGGAGCTAAACCAATGGGTGAGGCGTGCAGACACAGTGTGCGGGTCCAGTGTGCGGACCTAGAGTGTGGGCCCAATGTGCCGGCGTGGTGTGCAGGCCCGGTGTGCTGCTGTAGTGTGCCAGTGCAGCGTACGGGCCCAGTGTGTAGCTGCGGTGTGTGGATGCGGCGTGCCGGCGCAGTGTGTGGCACGATGTTTGGCCACTCCACAGCAAACGCCCACTGTGAAGCATTGACCTGCCGATCTAGCTGCCCGGGCAATCTGCCCACCGCCCCTAACACTGCGAGCGCAGTTAGAGGTGTGCCAGGCCTCTCTGCTCATCTTCACTTGTTTTTTTCTGCCTTCTTGTGTTCCGTTTCCACAGAAGGAGACTTTGTGGGCTCAACACTGGCCTACCATTTAGGTGTTAGGTGTTCGTCCGCAGTCTGTGAAGAGAATAAACACCATGACTCAGCCTTCATGTTCAGCAAGCGCCTTCCCTGAACATGACCAAGCTGTCACTATGCTGCTACTTCAAAATCACGTCAAACCTTCAAAAAATATATATATGTTTCTCATAGTACTTCACCATTTTCCCCTTTGTGACTGGAACTGCATGTCAGTAACCAGCAGTAAATTATTTATTTAACACTGAAGTATTAATTTTAATCAGTTTGACAACAATTTGTTTGCTGGAAGTCTGAACGTACATTGCACTTGTATTTTTTTTCTACTCTGAGAAATATCAGCTTATATTTATTTAAATCTTACTGAACACCTTTCTGGTGAATCAGCCCCCCATGACGTAACCACCCTGTGGGTTCTCCTGTCTGATTGCATTTGATCTGCGTTCTCAGATAGCTGACCAGCTGCCCTGCATTTCGCTGACGAAGTCACTGTCTTCCGCCTGAAGATGGAAACGTTGGAGTCGGAGCTGACCTGCCCAATCTGCCTGGAGCTCTTCGAGGACCCTCTGCTGCTGCCCTGTGCTCACAGCCTGTGTTTCAGCTGCGCCCACCGCATCCTGGCCTCCCACTGCACCTCCAGCGAGCCCGTGGAGTCCGTCCACGCCTTCCAGTGCCCCACTTGCCGGTATGTCATCACCCTCAACCAGAAGGGCCTCGAGGGACTGAAACGCAACGTCACCCTGCAGAACATCATCGACCGCTTTCAGAAGGCCTCTGTGAGTGGGCCCAATTCCCCCAGCGAGACGCGGCGTGAGCGCGCCTTCGAGGACACCACCATGACGTCGCCCGGTGAGACAGTGCAGTGCCAGTTCTGCGAGCAGGACCCACCGCAGGACGCAGTCAAGACCTGCGTCACCTGCGAGGTGTCCTACTGCGAAGAGTGCCTGAAGGCCACACACCCCAACAAGAAGCCATTCACCAGCCACCGGCTGATCGAGCCCATGCCCGACTCACACTTGCGCGGCCTGCTGTGCCTCGAGCACGGGGATGAGAAGGTCAACATGTACTGCGTGACCGATGAGCAGCTCATCTGCGCCCTGTGCAAGCTGGTGGGGCGACACCGCGACCATCAAGTGGCAGCACTCAGCGAGCGATACGAGAAGCTGAAGGTACAGTGATTGCTGTGATTACTGTCCTGTGCTCATGTGATTGACTGTTAGTGGAAGAATCTGGACGTCCAAAGCAGTTAAAATATACCTTTTCCAGTAAATATTTCATACCAGTACCAGTGAAAAGTCTGGACGCACCTACTGAAAATTATTTGTTTTTCCACACGATAATGACCCTAAGCTATCTTGAGGGCATGTAGTGTAATGCTACTGTAGAGTAAAAGCAAGGTAACTTGTGCCCAGAAATTGGAGAAGCTCCTTCAGGACTGTCGGAGAAGCATTCCAGGTGGCTGCAAGAGTTTGCAATGCTGTTATTAAAGAACATTTTTAGATGTTGAACACTACTCTTAGTCGTTGCAATAAGTTGTTGCCTCAAGGCCTTTTACTATAAGTTGAATAACACAGCTAAAATAGTGACTTGCATTAAAAGCAGGTGTGTCCAGATGTTTGAGAGGTACTAAAATAATAATAATAATAATAATAATAGTAGTAGTAGTAGTAGTAGTAGTAGCCATATAAGTATTATTACTACTTACAAAGGCTACATTAATTGGTAGGTAAGATCATAGAGAATATACAGTATAATAAGAATAAATTGCTGTTGTTTGGAAAAGGACTGGAAAACCTTAGTCAGATTTAGAAATCATAAACATGCATAATTATAATGGCTTCAACGCGCGGCTCTGCAGAACTTCTTTCTAAAAGTTGCACTTTGCATTTTGCGGGCTGACATTTGGGTCTGCTTATAGAGCACAGTTACGGTGTCAGCGTAGTAAATATGCCGTGAAATACTTTACACTTTTATAAAGTATTAGTATATGGCTCCAGTTATCAGCCTTACGTGCCTCGCTGACGAGCAGTTAATGACTCTTGGGGCTACTGCTTTCATACTAAGCGGCACTAAGCGCACTCCCATAATCGCTTGTAATTAATTGAGCTGTGTATGGATTTTGAATGTAGTCAGTGTGGGCGATGGGGAAAAAAGGTCAAGAATTTGATTCACTTTAACCACGAATGAAGCCCCGTCAAAGCAAACCACATCCACGGCTCTGTGACGGGAAGCTCCGTGGTGACAGAAGCGAGCAGAGAATCCCGTACCTGCTGGGCGGCCGGGCCGTTAATCCAGGGCTGATCTGCACAGTGGACGGATGGATTTCATAGGCTATTCCGCAGCTTTTACAAGTGCCCTGTCATTCGAGGTCCAGCCGCACGATTACAAATCTAACATGAACAGCTGTGTAGAGTTTAGAGAGTTACACATAATCTGCAGAGGAACATCGCTGGATATCAGCTGCACAGAACTGTGTCACTTTAATATTTACTGTAAATATTACTTATTGGCTTCCGTAGTAAATGCAGTAAAGGTGCATTTCCAATTAGTCCTCTCACTTATTTTGATTTTATTTTGATGCACCCTAGCTAAGTCATGCATGAATACAGTAATGCCCGCTTTTGAATTTTAAGGAAATAATCACTTTTGCAGAGCTTTTCGACAAAAAAAATGCTTTTTTTAAATCACTAGAGCAAAGGTGCTGACCTTAGGGAAAAACTCACACACGAGACAAGTTTTTTATTGTTCACTGTGAATTTTTCACACGTATTTCAGCAAGAAATATGAATGTAATTTCCAAAACATGTTGCTCTTGACTAAAGAACGTCTCCGTATCCATATTTGAACTCATCTCTGACTTCTCCTGTTTGGTCTGAAGTCCTCGTGTTCACTAACACTCACAGAGTTTGTTTGCTGCTATTGTTTTCCTAATGAAAAAATCTACAGCTTTTACTAGAATAAGATTGAATCTATAATTAAATCGATTCCTAAGTTTCTACTTAAATGGATTTTTACCTTTAAATAGCATCTTAATCTGTACTGCAGGAAGGCAAATGTTGTGTCAGTTCAGATATTGGAACATGACCTTCCAGGACCAGTATTAAAGTTAACAGGCTGTGTGAGGTCCCTACCTGTTGACTTAACCGGTGTTGTCATAGTTACAGAGAAGAGCTCGGGACGTCTCGCCCTCCCAGTTGAAAGGCTTTAGTAGGCTTTCTGAGTGATATTAGTAGGATCACAGTGACTAGCTCAAACACCTTCTCTGCTTATAGCGTGTCAGAAGGAAAGAGGGATGAGTGTACGAGATATGCATCCTGCCCAATTGGTCCAGCAACCATGTGGACTCGGGCCAGTACTCCATCCACAGTGGCCCATCTATGCTTTGGCTGACAGCAGAACATATGGATACTAATACGAGTGCAAGAGGCTTCACTCTGCATTCAGCTGGGCTCTCACCTTTGGCATCCTGTGCTTATAAGATGCCCTATTTTTCAGCCCTGTTTAACTCGGGTCAGAGTTTATTAGGCATAATAAGATGTCAGATTCACAAAAATGTTGTCCTGAAGGCTAAGCTCAGTCCAAGAAAAGACTAAATTTACTACACCACTGTCATTCTCTATTTAATACATCATCAGTATGTTTAACAGCTTGTCTATTAAAAAAAACCCAAATAATGTGTTATTTTGTAACACCTATAGGTCCAAGTCCAGTTCTAACCCGCTCAGCCACATACTTCCCCCAAAATATGCTACACTTAATGAATTTGCGTGTCACTCTTGCAGAGGGGGCCGTGCTTGTCTTTGCTGTATTCTTCCAGTTTTAGTATAAGTGCATTTGCTTTAATATGAATATGACTAATGACTTCAGTTCACTAAACATTCACTTAGTTTGCTCTGATTTGTAAATCAGACATTCCCTGAGCTGCAATTTATTCTGAAAGACATTTCTGATGCTTTGGTTAAACCCACCATTTTACTTATGAAGTGAAACTTTTAGCATTTTATGGAACTTCTGTATAATTAATGAAATGACATGGAGATACGGGCCACTCTCAGAAGAAGAGCCTGCATGCAAAATGAATAGCGCTTAACATGCTCCATTTCATATTTTTAACTCGGCCCGGGTACAGAGTGTGCCATGACTTTTTTGTCCTGCCAAGTGGCGGCATGTCATTACCATATTTGGGTATGACTATGGAAGCCAGAGGAAATGGTCAGCAGAGGGGATTTTAGGAACCAAAAGTAGCAATTATCCATTTGGATGCATTCTTTAGATCAGACCTCATCTCACTGCCTGACATGTAACCATACACTCCAACAAACATCACAGTTTTGGAATCTTGGAAGCTACATTGTAACCCTTCAAAGAACTTGAATACTGTACATTTGTCGATAGCATGTGGTTTTATATAAGCTACATTTTTGCACATGTTTATTTAGTAGGAAGTGTGATAAAAACTCCACAGGAGTCGATCATCAGCCCTTTGCACACGGGTGGCTGTCTGCCCGAATCCCAGCTGGCCCTGGCTGGACTAACTGGCTTTGCTGGGCTTTCAAAGGACCAGCTGAGTCAACCCACAATGGTCTTAAGTGAGATCAGTAGATCCTGGGAGGAGCTGCAGGACGTGTGGCATTCTTGGGTTTAGTGTGTGCAACACTTGTTTGAATTCTCAGGCTGTTTTGGGTTGCCTTTTTCTTTGTATTTTGTATTTTTTGGGGGGGCGGGTGGTGGGGATTAAGCTGCTTGCTTGAATTACCCCGCAATCCAGTGCCTCTGCCCTGATCTTAGAAAACTTATTAAAAACACACAGACAACTCTGTATGTTAATTTAAAAATGTTGGAATTACACTGTACAACATTTAATGGAAGCTACATTGTAACCCTTCAAAGAACTTGAATACTGTACATGTTGACTATATGGCTACTAAGTTATGACTCAGAATGTCTCTGCAGTTACATGATCATAAAGCTTAGAAATATGCCGTGATATTTTTATATTTTAAATTATGGAGCCATACCACAGATTTCTGCTGTGTTAAATCTTTTGTTCACCTGAATTTATTCATTCATATAAATCTCGTGTTTTTGTGTATTGAGATCAGTTCTGTTTGTTTTACATAAAAATTTGCCTGTATTTACTCAAGAAAACATTTCTCAAGAAACATTTTGCACGTCATTTGAAATTTTTATAAGAGAGGAGAGGAGATTGGCTGACATCCAGACACAAGCCGCTTTCTTTCCACGTCATAAATGAACCTGTTGTTGTACAATCCCGCAGTAATAGTAATTAGAAATGTTTCTGTGTAATCTTACCTGTCATCTCTATTTAATTTGATGCACTGCCGCAAACTGTAGCACTTTAAAGGAGATAATTTACTAGTGATATTTACTAGTAGGCCTATGGCATTTCATACGAAAACCGCTTTGTAATTCTGGAACATATGCATATTATTAGTGGTTTCTGGAATTACAAAATTTGAATCTATTTTAAGTGTTTTTCCCCTTTTCATTAATTTAACATTTGCCATATGGGTTAGGAAATTTGACTTCCTTAAAATGTATTTGCTGATAAATCGCACATATATTCCATAAGTAAAAGAACGAGATTGAATTGTCACGATGGACCACAGGGAAAGATCGACGGTCCAATGAGCGGCTATCAGACACCCGGCTAAACTGAACTAAAAAGACAGTAGAAACAAATAGGGACCAAAACAAAGGCAGGTAGGACATTAAGGATAAATAAGAACTGACACCCAATGGAAACACAGGGGAAATAGTGACATAGAGCACATAGACACCCTGGTGTATGGCAGCCCGCCGCGAAGAGAAGGACGTCTATCCAAGGTGATTATTTTCGTTTAACCGTCCACCTCGAAGTGAGTTATCGTGCTTTTACCACGGCTAACTAACGGATAAATAAAATAGAACAACAACCGGGTTCCAACACTACATGCTTGTCACGGTTAATCTTTCAGAAGAAGATTATTTCAATAAGATTTAAGAATAGTACGTTGGTCAGGCCACTCACTGGAAGCAAGTCCCTTAAGTTACCATAGAAACAGTCAACAGACTGGCACATTTTAAAAACCAAGGAAAATAATGCTGATAGGAATGACTGCGTATTTATCAGTGGGGTAATGGATCATAGTTGACTGTACCCCTGCCCTACTGAATGCCACACCTGGAGAGTGATGACTGGGCGGCTTTAACTTCGTGGACATCCCCTAGTCCTGAGAGCTGGCTTGCAGGATGAGGACTCTAGACCTGCGTAATCAGGTGGGGGCTGAAGATGTGCACGGCTGAACCCAGGAGAATTCCTCAAGAACATAAATCTCCCTCTCGACGAGACCCTGCAGCAGACACTCGCTAAGCATGACTGTCAGTTTAGTGAGGGCTGAACTGACTGTTTGTCCATGTGATGGCTGGTTCTTCTGTTACACTCATGGTTGGTAACGCCCCAAGTGACAACATGGTACACAACTGGAGATACTGGGGAGGCGATTCTGGAATTCCGGAGCCAAGACTTGGGAATCAGGATTATACCTCTAAGCGGGCAGGCAGCTTTACTTGATCGTTTTCTTGTAAAGTCCACAGCTTATTTAGCAGGAAAGACTTCCAGGTTTAGAGTATGTCTGTGACAGTCACAGTACACTCGTGTCAGCCCAGTTGCCCCTGCTGGGCTGGTTGAGTCATGACATTTCTCTGCATTTATATGTGTGTGAGACAGAGAGTTGGAAAGTTTATGACTTAAAAAAAACACCTCTCCAAGTATAAAAAAGTACCAGTATCAGCACAATGCCTAGAGAAAAGCAGTAAAACAGTACTCCCATTGCAGTGAGCAGTATTGCAGTGCTGCAGTGAGCAGTGTTGCTACACACTGTAATATTTTTCTGCAGCCGTCTCATTATGCTCCAGGGAAATTAAAGGTACCAACCTGGCTTCTCAGGTCGAAGATGCAGCCGGCATTTATTATCATATTTTCAATTAAAAAATAATTAATGCATAAAAAAGCCCTAATCACGTATCTAGCTGCAAGGATACAATCAGCATTTTAAATAAATTTGTGTAAACAGATGCTCTGTTTTAAAAAATGACATGAGCAGTTCTTTTGATGTTCTTTATGAGCTTGATACTGACATACATCATTATTACTGTATATATACATACACGCACCCACACACCCTATTTGGATATACAGTAGAAAATGAATAGTTCATTCTTGCCTTTTTATAGTTTGCTCCAGAATAATAAGACCCATACATACAGCATGTCAATGAACATTTAATAGTGTATACACTTTTAACTGGCAGAGCAGTTTTTGCTGAATTTTTCACTGTATTAAAAATGCTGCTTGTAGATTCTACTCCTCATCTCAGTTATAGCGGGTCTGAGTTGCTCCTCCAGCTTTGTGTAACTGGCAGCTGCCTGGAGATCTCCGCAGGCTGTAAGGAGAAGGTGTGACAGGCGTGATCAGAGGGCCTGACACACAAAGCGAGTGGTAAGACCAAAGCAGAGAGCACCCTCTCTTCAAATCTAGGTGCTTTGAAATATCTAGCATGGATATTGCTCATTGTGAGTCCTCACATGTTATTTGGCAGCCTGTGCAGCTGCTGTTTCCAATGTGCAGCATTTTATGGTGTGTGTGTGTGTGTGTGTGTGTGTGTGTGTGTGTGTGTGTGTGTGTGTATATATATGTGTCAAGAACATCAGAGGGAAAATGAAAAACTTTAATTTTGTGTCTTCTGCAATTCTGTTTCAGATTTGAGCTCCTGAGTATGTAGATCCACAGTTCCTAGCTTCTCAGTGCCTTAAGGATTTCTTGTCATGTGTCACTCAGCCGGGTGTTTTACACCAATGTCTAAATAACATTCCGGTTTCCGGGATGTCTATACTAACGTGGAATCCATAAGCACATAAATCACACAAGGCAGTATTTATATCTTTGAAGAGCATAAATGCAAAATAACATTTCCCCCCATTTCTTGCAAGAAATTGGTTTGCTTGCAGAAATGGGTGATTCCATTGGATGATGTTTTGCAGCATGTTGAATGGTTGATTCCCAAAGCCTGCTGTAGCGAGGCTTCCCGCTGCCCCGCCCCTTACTTTCACTGCCCCGCCCACTCTGCCCACCGCTTAGCAACCTTTCACTGCCCCGCCCACTCTGCCCACCACTTAGCAACCTTTCACTGCCCCTCCCACTCTGCCCACCCCTTAGCAACCTTTCACTGCCCCGCCCACTCTGCCCACCCCTTAGCAACCTTTCATTGCCCCGCCCACTCTGCCCACCCCTTAGCAACCTTTCATTGCCCCGCCCACTCTGCCCACCCCTTAGCAACCTTTCAATGCCCCGCCAACTCTGCCCACCCCTTAGCAACCTTTCAATGCCCCGCCCCCAGCCCCGCCCTTTAGCAACCTGTCACTGCCCCGCCCACTCTGCCTTGCCTCTTAGCCGCCCATAGTCCTCTGTATACCTCCCTCTGCCCCACTGTATGAGCTGACGTCAGCTCTGACATGAATAAACCATTCCCGAAGAGCGGCAGGACGATGGCACTCTTTCTACACAAGACCGACTAAAACAGGCCCCTCACTTTGTTGGCTTGTGAAAAGCTTTGGGCCCAAAAGGGATTTTCACCTTGGTCCTGGGCCCAGAGGCCCTTGCAAACCCAATTAAGCTCATGCCAGCTGTGCCGGATGCTTCTCTGCCGTGCCCTTTCCTCCGCCCGCTTATCATCCCGTTAGATGCTGATAGCCTCCGCAGACATACAGTACCATGTCACTTTACTGCCATTTGCAGTCGCAGTGCCACTGATACTAAGACTCATTATATATCACAGCTATTTATTTGCCTGTTTGTTTGCTCCTACATGCCACTAATGCGCCTTGCTGCTTCCATCACTGCCCATTTCAAATATCCCATCATTGTTTACTTTTAAATTCTCTGTCAGTATTGTTATTGTTTTATTTATTTGCTTGTTTGTTTGTTGCACTTGTCCTGTCTATCTCTGTACTTCATGTATAGCACTGCACACTGGGGAGTGTTATTCCGTGCCCCCATATGCAGTAATACTGAATATGGTTGTTGTGACAATAAAGCCTCACTTGACTGAATTGACTTAATTTATATACTAAAATGATAAACTTTTAACATGTCAGTGAGCAGGACATGTTTACCTGATCTGCATTTATTGACTTGTAATAACCTAATTGATGTTACATGTATATGTTTTTTTTTGGGGTCTTCCTGTCCATAAAGGTAGTTCTGAGGTCCTGGAGAAGACCTGCAAGGGTGGGGGGGGGCTTTTCTGACATGGAAGATATCAGTCTACCTAGCATTTAATGACTGATGCATCTACATAACTTTCATCAATACAAATATCTGTACAAGTTTTATCAATAACATGCATGCTTCAGTAAACTCAAAGCATGTATATTATAATTAAAGGTTGTGTGGTTTAATATCTTTACATTACATATATATACTATTAGTATTAGTGAAGGAGTTTAAGTTACTTGTTTTAAAATGTTACATTGTTGGTGCACGTGCTTAATGGTGTACAAAATTAATAGTTCTGTTATCGATTGCAACATTTTGATTGGATAGGCAGAAAGCCTTGTGATGGGTTGTTGATTATGCTGGATACAGTTTAGTTTGAGGTGTTGAGGTGTCTGTCAGAAAGCGGAGCGGAGTAGCTAGGATGAAGGAGGAGGCCTCAGTTGGATGGTGAGATCCGTAAATGAGTTGTGACAAGCCGTCAGAGAGGCGGGAGACGTCAGTTTCTCTTTGTCTTTCTTCTCCTTTGAAGTTGACGGGTATGATCGCAGGGTGTATAATTCTTCATGATTTCTATGCATAAAACTAAAGAGCTTTGAAAACAGCTTCTCTTACGTCTCTGCTCTCTGTGCAGCAAGCGCTGGACTCCAACCTCAGCAGTTTAATCAAGAGGAACAATGAACTTGAAAATCTCATGGGCAAGTTAATCCAAACGTGCCAGAATGTGGAGGTAAGAAGATTGCAGTTTATTATCTCTGCTGTTTGTGTCCAGTGTCAGTGATTGTGAATGTGAGTCTTAAATATACCTTTAGGAAGTTTAAATGAAAATGCATCTCATGCAGTTAGGCAAACTGTCTTGTAGTTGTTTACTATTGAGAATTCAGGTTTATATTTTCCAGCCATAGGGAGCTGTCATTCAAAGTAAGCAGAAATAGGAGACTAATTTGGGCCAGCACTTGTAGTGATAATATTTAAAAAGCCGGTTGACGGTGATGCTCATTCTCGCCGGCAGGCTGCTCCTCTGTATGGCTCCGGGTTTGTGTGTGTGCGCGTTCGTGTCAGTATTTGTGTAAGTCCCACACACCAGCAGGCCAACTCGCAGGCCAATCTCTTCATGTCCCAGCACTGAAAAATCTGATCCACCTGATCAGGGAACTGTGCTCACGCTGTACCCTGCAGAGCTGGAAAGCCTGTCTTCCCACACCATCAAGTAACTGCTGTCACATATCAGTAGGTGGCTAGTTTAACTTGGAGTGTTTGCTCAGTTATTGCCCAAGAATCCTTGTTCAACATGTGATTAGATATTATTTGGACATCAATGGCAAGCACTTCTCCTGCTTCTTTGCAGAAAAATGTTCATTCATAAAACAGGAAGTAGATACTGACTTGGTTAGCCAATGACAGATGATGAAAATTGAATGGGAGCAGCCTTTAGATCATGTAGCTCATACCCACTTCACCGGATTCCACATTTTAGATGAATGGCCAATAAGGCAATTGTTTTCTTCACCAGGTAAATGCTTCAAGGCAGGAGAGCAAGCTGATTGAAGAATGCGATGTTCTGATTGACGTCATTCAGCAGAGACGGCAAATAATTGGGGCAAAAATCAAAGAAGGCAAGGTACTGTAGTATACTGAAGCACGGCTTTCCATTTCATATTGAAATGAGGTAATTGCACTTTATAAGTAAAATAAATAGATTTCCGTGAGCAAAAGAGTTAAATCACCCAAAGCTTTGACTGAAAACACATGTAAGATTATTTTAGTAGAAACTGTTGAACTTACTGAATTATGTTATCTACTTATTTAACATTATTTGGAATCTGCTTAGTGGGATTTATGTATTTGTTTGCCTATTTGAGGTTAGAGAATGTTGATTGGATAAAAAAGGAAAGGGGAAAACAGGAAGCAGGAAACAGGAAGTTCATTGGTCTTGTATGACAAGCCATGTGGCCGTTCCAGTAAATGGTGAAAGAAGAAATCTGCTTGCATCCCGTGCCGAAATACACAGCCCACACACCTTTCTGTGAACCCACTACATATATGTGCTGTGTACGTTCAATGGGGTATTGGCCTAAATGTTAAAAATCAGATTGCCCCCCAGACAAGCATCACATACACCAAGCATCTGAATAAACATACAATAATTTGCTTATAAGCAACTGTAAGGCACTGGAACAGCAGAAGGGAAATACTAGACTTCTTTTGTGACTGTCAATCTCCAGAATTAGTGAAACAACCTCAATAGAGATTACTCAGCTAGTTGGTATCACTAGCAGATTGAAAATGGTACAGTCTTACTTTTATGTGTATCATGTCCACTGAGATTTGTATGCCTTTGTGAATCTGTGCTGACATCCCATATATCAGATCTCATATTAAGCTATAAATCTTATACCAGTGAAATTTTAATTCCTATTTTGATGTCAGCTGCACTCAGACTTTTGGTTCTTGACTTCTAATGTCTGGGATCGTTAAAATGCAACTGTGTCAGTGTACTAATGCTCCAGTTCAATTTTGTAACCTCATTTCATCACTTTGACAGCACTGCTCTCGGTTAGGTCAGACAGAAAATAACGAGATTTGCCTAATGCTGTAATATGCATGAGAAACCTGAATATTTACGCCGGTTTTTTCCCCCTGCTATTTGTGGATCACGCTTAGGGTAGACAGATCAGTCTGACTATCTGACTTTACCCCAAGGCCAAGTGCCTTTGACGTCCATTTAGGGGAAGTTGAATAAATGTTTACGGACAGATTGTAGCCAATATATCTCGGTAGGTGAACGGGCATTTGAAAGAGCAACTATTCTTGAAAATGACAGGCCTTCTCTGCACCAGGAAAAATAACCTGGGCTATTTTGGATTAGCATATGGAAGCCTGGCTACTGGAAGACCTTGTTTTTCAGTTTCAGTTACAGACATGCTAATGCTTTGTTTGCAATGAAGGTAAAACATATTAAGAGCAATGGGAAGACGAATAATGAACATAGGAACTTCATTACATTTAGCACTTCTTTTTGTAAATCTTACTTATCCAAACTTGTCCAATTTCTAATTTGTATTATTCAGTATATTATTAAATTCATTACTCATAATAATAATAATAATAATTATTATTATTATTATTATTTACAGAATTAGTCTGTTTCCAGCATAAGCCACACTATGGACAACCATTTCCAAAAGCGTGTGGATTAACCATCGTTAGTCTCCTTTAACAGCCTGCAGTAGCGTACAGGACGGGGGGGGCGCTTTCATTCCTCTCTAGGACGATGTCATCCGTTTGTATTCCCTGATGTGATGAAAGTTATCCAAGGGCTTTGCATTTTGTATGCGTGCTACGCATCTAATTCCTAAAAACCTTTCCCCACTGGTACTCTTCAGAAACAGTTCTGTCATTTCTCCGCTGATAGATTCTCTAATTTCACATTATTATGTATGTGATGTGCTGTGTATGACAGCCTATAAATGAGTTTAGATGAGGAGACAGCAAGTGCCTGTATTCTGTCATCGTCCGAGTTAATGTCAAACATGCCATTGTTCTATAGTCACCGTTAGGAATTAGTGGATGACGTGAGATTTATGAGTCGGCCAGTTTGTCTGGAAACAGGATACATGAGGGGGTGACTTCCCCATCCAAAGACACTCCGTTAATTTATATTCCTTATTGTATTAAATAAGAAAATGTTACATTTGATCTGAATATAAATCTGCTGTCTTTTAAAATGTAAATCCTGCATCAGGCCTGCAGCTTCCACTCCTTCGCAGTGGTAGCGGGGTCACCCTGCCAGCCCCCAGTATCTCCCAGTCACCATCTCCCAGTGACTGCGGTCTGTGGGTGGGGGCTGCTCACAGAGCTCAGGCCTTACAAATGGAGTTTGAAGTGTCAGCTGCCAGAACCATAGCTCATTTATAAATGTCTAGTCATTTTATAAGTGGTATTTCTTTCATTTAATCAACAATATGGACTGCAATACTCTAAATACATGAACTTGTTAAATATTTGGAAACTGATTGTATTTCTGTTGCCAGAAGTCGTGTGAAGTATCTTCAGTGCTAATGCTTCCAGCCTGTGAATTTAATTATCCTTGCAGATGAAATCCACTCTGACGTTTGCACCCCGATTCTGTCAGGTGGCAAGGCTGCGCAAACTGGCCCAGCAGATCGCCGGCTGCAAGCAGTGCATCGAGAGATCCTCTTCGCTCATTGCTCAGGCAGACCAGACCCTCAAAGAGACTGACCACGCCCGCTTCCTGCAGACAGCCAGAAGCATCTCTGAGAGGTAATCTATGGGCCTTCCGAGTTCATGAAGAACCTAAAAATACACAGATTCTGCATCAATTCAAAGAAAGAAAATGCGGAGTTCTGTGCTATTCCATACAAACTGTTTAATATACTTATACAGTTTAACAAACTGTTAAATATAACTAAATGGTTTTCGTTCATGTTCTGTAAGAAACCAATGTCAAGTATATCATTTAGATATCAAGTGTATCAGTTGGATAACTGACAGGTATTAATGTATCTGTTTTTCAGGGTATGCGTGGCAATGACGTCGTCTCAGGTTCTGATACCAGAAATTAACCTGAATGACACGTTTGATACATTTGCGCTGGACTTTTCCCGGGAGAAGAAGATGCTGGAGTGTCTGGATTACCTTACAGGTAACTAAGTATCACTACCCCTTTGGAAATGAAAGGTCCAATACGGAATGTGAGGAGTTTACCCAACTTGGTAATGTGAAAATAACTGGAAGTTCATTAGAAGGTCGCTATTTGGAACCTATGATCCCAGATGCCCTTGAGGTCTTCTCGTCTGTCAATTAGCAAAACACACCAGGTGGTTTCTTCTCAAGTATGACCCAGGAAATGATTTGAGACCCAGAAGGACAAATATGTTGTAATGGTTTTAGCTGCAACTGAGATAAACAGACTTTGATATGTTTGCATTCTGGGGCATTTTCTGCAAGGATTTTGTGTTCCTCCCTTTTTTATTTTTACATTTGTGCTGAGGCAGATGGCTCAGTTCAGGGCACAGCCAGCTAACCAGCTTGGGCCTTAATGTGTGGCTATTACAGAAATGGATCAACCATAATGGAAGCCGATCAGACCCAGATCCCCTATATCAGACCTCATGCTTCCCCCTGTCTGACCGAGTGTGAAACAGGAAGTGATGTTTGCCATCCCAGGATATGATGCATCAGTTTCATCAGCCATATCCTACTTTCTGATTCCACTAATGACCAAATTAAGATTTTGTATCATGTTTCCCGTTGCAGCTCCGAATCCTCCTGGAATCCGGGAGGAGCTTTGCACTGCATCGTATGACACTATCACTGTCCACTGGACATCGGACGACGAGTTCAGCGTGGTCTCCTATGAGCTTCAGTACGCCATTTTCACAGGACAGGCCAACATCATTAGTAAGTACACAGGCCAGCCTCTAACAAGGCATAAGTTACATACTATTCACATTTGTTCTGAACATCTACTGACAAACATTAGCTCAGTAACAAAATCGCTGAATTTTGAAATTCTTGTGTAATGGTTATTTATTTTTTTCATTAAAAAGCAAATATTCTAGCATTAAAGTTGGGAATGCTACCCATTTCTTTATTGTGGCACAAGATAAATGAGGTCACATTTCAGGCTGCCCTCAGCAGATTGTACTTTTACATGTGATTAGCACAGACTAATCATACTTTACTGAGTAAGTAGAAGGTTGGCGTTAGCCTAAGTTTGGCGCCATATGTGCATTACATGTTATCGTTTACCTTTGGTGAGCTACCAGTAATAGTACTTATAATAGGTTTTAGGAGTGGCTCAGGCAGTGGATTTGTGGACGGTGGAGACCATGTGAAATGGTTCTGGCATCATGGTGCGCGATACAAAAAACAGGCCTAAGGGTACAGAAATGGGAAAAAGAGCGAGACCAGTACCTAGATCAGGCAATACATACCAGTCTTCTAGGGTCCAGAGACCGGAAGCTTCAGTCAGGATAACAGGGTTGCAGACGGGGGCGATCAGTCGCCACACAAGAACTGGTCACATGACAAACACTACCCCCCCACTTTTTCTAGTTCCTGATCTAATTTTTGTTTACCACTGCCATAGAAATGTTACCTCAGCATGTAAGCATGGTAAGTAAGCAGTAGGCAGTAATACACATACATACTCATGTACATATGAGTGATTACATAGATACTTAGATGAAAAAAAACTCACAGATGACACAGGGTGTAGCACTGTGAAGGGATATCCTTATAATTTATGTGAAAATTAAACATTTAATGACCTTATCCCTGCTTTTATACCCCGTCAAGGAGGTCTTTCTGACATTTTGAAACTATGCATTATGCTGAATACCACTCTAAGCATATAGGAATTTTTTATGGGTGCAATTTATTGACCATTATCTTAATTTCATCACTTTAACTAAATTGCAAGGTGTAAATGATAACAATGACTAATGTAAATGTATGTAAGGCACTCAGATACTGCCTCTGTCACGCTTTACCTCTGATGGACTGCTTACTGTTCCTCTGACAGATTTTGATGTTGTTGGGGGGGGGGGCGGTGAATGATTTGAGACTCAGCTTTTCTTGTGCTTGTCCATGCTTCTGCATGTCCATTCTTATGCATGTCTATGCTTATGCGTGTCTATGCTTATGCGTGTCTATGCTTATGCGTGTCTATGCTTATGTGTGTCTATGCTTATGCGTGTCTATGCTTATGTGTGTCTATGCTTATGCATGTCTATGCTTATGTGTGTCCATGCTTATCCTTGCTACAGTTCAGCTGAACAGATCCCTCTCTCACTGAGACATAAAGATTTTTTCTTTTTTTAAAGCACCTGTCTGTGCATGTGTACAGTACTACTAAAGACTATAAAACAGAACGTTTAAATCATTACTCCAAAGTGTACTCATTAGTAACAATTTGATACCTATTAAACACTAGCAAATACAGTACGAACATTAAATCAACTGTATATAGAACTGATTAAGTTCACTGAAGCATACATGGGGTCACTAGGTCATTTTGGGATTAAATCCCAAAAGGTGAAGCAGTGGTCTTTTTTCAAAACTCTGAATTGCTCCAGTAAATATCCTGCCTTGTTAATAAACACTGTTAACACTGGCAAACGGTAAATTACGCAACAGCCTCATTTGGAAGCGTCGGCTTGGCACATAAGAAACGCACCATTTCATGGGATCCACAAAAACCTGACAGACTAATGCTGAAAACGACGCTGTGCTCTGCTGGGGGTATTAGCATGTTACTTCCAGTCAGTTCTTGCCATCGGAGTTAAATAAATAAAGGTGACCTGTTTCTCCCTGTCTGTGTCCGTCCGGCCATGAAGGCTTGTGCAGCTCTGCCGACAGCTGGATGATCGTGCCCAACATCAAGCAGAACCACTACACGGTGCACGGCCTGCAGAGTGGCACCAAGTACATCTTCATCGTCAAAGCCATCAACCAGGCGGGCAGTCGCAGCAGTGAACCGGGCACTCTGAAGACCAACAGTGAGTGAGATCGCTCGCTTCTGTCTGGAGGACAAGCACACGCCACAGACTGGAACACAGTCCAGAGCTCTGTTACATGTCTAGCTTCAGTGGCTAATATTACATTCATTGCAATATTGGTATTGAGGCTTGAGCTGTATATATTACATTATATTCACATTACATTAATTTAAAATATTGATTCTCTGGATTTCTGCGTGATGTTTTGCTGCTACTTTCCAGGGTGACTTAGAAGTTGTATCCTAAGAAGAAAAGCAAGCACAAAAAATAGACTTTCTTATGATTTGTGTAGAAATGACACATGAAACCAGCCTCTCTCCACTTCTACACTTCATCACATGTACCTGGTCTCTCTTCACTTCTATATCTCATCATATGTAACTGGCATTTATCCACTACTACACCTCATCACATGTACCTGGTCTCTCTTTGCTTCTATACCTCATCACATGAAGTTGCCCTCTCCCCACTTCTATACCTCATCAC